AATGTGGTTTCGGACAGCATTGTAGATCCAGCCATCTGGCCGTTGGATCAAGTGCTGCTGATTGCTGAACCGCTCCCTCAGTGAGGCAACAAGGCATGAGTGCAAATATGACTGCAAGTAAAATAAAGCAACAAAACACAGCAAAATAAACTTCTGACAATGACGACTCTGACAAGTTACACCAAATCCAAAGTCCCCTTGCGATCCAGTAGCCAGCACAGGTACAGGCTCTGCTGCGCACTCCGACTGAAGACTGCCGCAGTGGACACAATCGCGCGAGGCAACTTCGCCAAAGCAATGGAATCGTCGCGCATTAAAAAAAACACTGCCTGTCAATGTCTAGCAGTGATATGTCAGTGTCATGGTGTCATGACAATGACAATGATTTGACAATGTGTTTTTTCAATGATGATGTTGCATCTGCTTGGATGTCAGGCGTGTCTTGAGCCCGACTGCCAAACAATACCCGGGCTGAAGTCACGAGAACAATGACCAACTAAAGGGCTGGCGTGCTGAGCAACAAACCATCAGATCAGCAGGTTGCGGGACACGGCACCAAACACCTGAGAGCAGGCGCAAGAGTGACAGAATTCAACATAAGAAGAACTTAGTTAGTAGACAGTGAATAATAAAAGAACATTTTGTGAAAGACAAACTCATCTAACATCAAGTGAAATTCCAGCCTTGGTGTGAAATCACAGGTCTAAAGTTTAAGTACAATTTGAGTGACTGTGCCCAATGTTCAATCAGGCCAGGCCTGAGTCGTCGTCGATGGCAAAAATGACAAGGACAAAAATGCCAAGGACAATGATGCAACCTGGCAACACCCATGTATTTCACATGATCATGCTGTCTTTCACTTGGCTCGTCCTCTTTGGCGAATCCTCCTTGGCCCTGGCATCCAACATCTGCACATCCTCACCTTGGTAATTGAACAATGGCATCAAGCAAGACAGTCACAAACTGAAACAAACAGACAATGCCAATGAGTACTCATCAATGACAATGACAAAGGCAATTGAACTTCATCAAGGCAATCCACTAATGGCGGTGAGCATCCAGCCATTTTTTGATTTCATAGTCTTGATAACCTCGGCCGACACAAGCTTGTTCCTGAGGTTTGAAGCAACCAGACTTGCAAATTCATGAAATATTCAATTCACATTAGCGATCCTGTGAGCAAATTGGAAAGTATCAAGATTCGAACAGCTCTCAGTGGGCACCTGCCATACAGCTGGAAGAAGAGGTGCTGGATGTTGTCCGCAATGTTGTGATCCTTGAGGATTTCCAGCCTTGGGGAATCAAATGAGCTGCAACTGTAAAGTTGAATCATGACTGTGACTGCTGGATGACTTTGTCACAACACAGCTTGTCATTGAAACCCAGAGGCAAAACAGGATCACGCTCCTCTGCCTGACAATGATCCTCCTCCCGATCCTCCTCCTCCACATCCTCCATGACCTCTTGCGGCTTTGCGGGGGGGAGCGGCCACATCACCAGTTGGATCCTTGTCGCAACATAAACACGCAATCATCAAAACCACCCCGCCATTATTCCAGTGAACGGTGTTCGCAATCAATTTGTGATGGTTTGAAACCAGCATAGCCATGGTTCAAAGAAAGCATCTCTGATTTACCACAGACCTCCAAGAGCCTGTCCAAGGTATTTTGAGCCAGGTCCAACATGGAGCCAGCAGGCTTCTTAGCCCACCATTGATGAATGGTATTACGCACTTCATGCAATTGAAAGACACCATATACGGTTCACAAAGGTACCCATTGTTTGTTCCATTGATGATGAAGAACAAACACAAACAGGCCTGCTGGACACTGAGAAGGCGGCTGATGCACTGTAGCTCTGCACCTGGCGCACACGAGCTTCATGGGTAAACATGACACCTTAAACAGCACGAATAGTTATTATTCATAAGTGATTTGAAAAATGCAATCCTCACCTGATCCTGCCTGGATGCTGATGGGTGTCCTGCAGCAAATAATAAATCAGTGACAATGATTTGGTGTTGATTTGAGACGGATCAGTGTCACATTGATCAAACCACACTAAACTTGCACATCATCACGACTAAACTAATTGGCATGACAATGATGAACATACTTGTTTTTCACCAAGAGGAGCACGAGCTTCACTTGTTTGGTGCCCGCCTTTTTGGGTACCTAACATCTACATTGCCCGCTGGCCTCTTCTTCACTTTAGGCTCATCTTCACTCCGCAACTCGCCCATGTCATATGTTGAGGATTGGGAAGTCTGTGATGCTGCCTGATGATCACCCACACCATCATCTCCCTGCTTGATCACCTGGATGCGCATCTTGTGGGTCAAGGCAACATAGGTCACCTGATGAGTCAGGACTTCAGTGGGTGACACTGAAGTGTGAATTGTCCTGAAATGACAATGACACCTGAAATGCTAACAAGGCCACAGTCAAATCTGCCACAGTCCCCGCCAAATTCTGAGACTTATCCATGATAGTGACAGTGAGTTACAATGGTTTGAGCTGACTGTGGCTGCAGAGTGACAAGTGACAATGAAGCTCAATCCCTGCCCAGTGCCAATCAGTCAGTCCTCCAGCCATCAAATCATCCTGGGCAGGCAGTGTGAATCATCAATTATGGGACTCCTACCACTCCGAAGTTCTAAGTTTCCAGCAGCCGGAAACAATGGAAGAACAGTTTTGAACCCAAAGGTGGCAACGATTGTGAAACTGACAGCTGACAATGATGTGAGTCGAAGACAATGATGTCATTAAACCACTGGAGCTCCCAAACTTTTCACTTTAAGTTGTAAACAATTTTAAACTCACCAGTTTCAAATTTCAGAAAAAACATATACACAAAAGCAACTTTTGCAAATTGCAAACAGCCACCCAGTAGAACTAACAGTAATTAAATAGAAACAAGAAGCTACTAGGAACAAGTGCATCGCTACTATTAACAAGTGCCTTACTAGTAGTAACAAGAATTAGTAATTAAGTTTAGTTAGAATTAACAGTAGTTAAAAAGAAACAAGAAGCTACTAGGAACAAGTGCATCGCTACTATTAACAAGTGCCTTACTAGTAGTAACAAGAAGCTAGTAATTAAGTTTAGTTAGAATTAACAGTAATTAAATAGAAACAAGAAGCTACTAGGAACAAGTGCATCGCTACTATTAACAAGTGCCTTACTAGTAGTAACAAGAAGCTAGTAATTAAGTTTAGTTAGAATTAACAGTAATTAAATAGAAACAAGAAACTACTAGGAACAAGTGCATCGCTACAGAAACTCAGGTCACCGAGAGGCGCTGGGCGGTCTTACTTGGCGCCGATGGGAAGATCGAGAAGTTCCTCGACGGCACTGCGCAGCGCTGCGCTCTCCTGAAAGGGCATGAAGAAGCGACTAGTAACAAAGGGCATGGCTACTAGGAGCAAGAAGCTACAAAAATAGCTAGAAGCTACTAGGTGGAGGGCATCGCAAGTAGGTTGGAGGCCATCGCTACTAGTAACAAGAAGCTAGTAGCAGCTCCTTCTCCAAAGAGGCTCCGGTCGAGCAACTCAAGGAGAGTCGGCTCAAACACCAAGGCCTCCTTGCAGGCCAGGTTGTCAGGGTATTTGGTTCATCTTAGGTGGGACCATCGTTGGCCTGTTCCGGCCTGTTCCACCTCCCAATCAGCCCTTCCAGCCTTCTCCAATCAGGGGTGATGCACCAGAACGGCATAATCTTCCCCAGTAGTGGTGTTGCAACCTGCATTTGTGTTCAACTGTGGAACTCAGTGGAATTCTTTTTCACCATGCTTTCATGTTCAATGTGGCCGAACATGGCACGCATGCAACACGCGGCTTTTCACACCAATCCATGCGAATTTGTTTGACCTGTGTGCACCCTTTTGGCGTCGACCCAAGGCTTTGGCCCTCCGAACCTTGGCTGCGAAACGGGCGAAGGACCGTCGGACCGTCTGGGGATGCTAGTCCACACCCTGTGACGAGTCAAAAACCTCACGACCGACAGAGACCACGGAAGACTTTACCGGTGAAGCAGTGAATTTGCGAAGAAGATCCATTTTTGGTGAATTCGCTCGCGCTTGGGTCTTTAGTAGCTCTCATGGCGTTTGAGGGGGCAACGCTACTAGGAGCAAAGGGCATCGCTACGAACGGAGCGATCGGACGCTACGATCGGGGCTCCTGGCCTTTCTCCTAACAACAGGGACGCTACTAGGAGCTTGTTCCTTGAGCAGGATGTCGCTGTGTTTTGCTCCTCAGGTGTCGGCCAAGACGTTCCCGGAAGAGGCGTTGAATGAGGTTTAGAGGTGCAACAGATTTGCCCGCCCAAATGTGTGACGATATGTCACAAGACTCATAGAGACCTTAACTAGAAGTGGAGGCGCCGAAGTGCGTGGCGCTGGTCTCACGAAGTTTTCAGTTTCTCCAGATTCCCAACTTGGCCTGAAATGCTTCTGTTGTTGAGTGAATGCTGGGTGCCTTGAGCATTGCTCTGAGAAGCTTGAGCATGGGTGAAATCCCCATCGCTAGTAGTAACAAGGGCATTACTAGTAGTAGCAAGAACGCTACTTAGTAGCTCCTGCCATTTCTACTAGTAACACGGAGCTACTAGGGGCTCCTGGCATCGCTATTAGGAGCAAGGACGCTACTAGTAACAAGGGAGTATCGCTATTATAACAAGAAACATCGATCAGTATGAAGTCACGAGCGATCCAACGCGAGCTCCTCAGAGCAGCATGAGTGGCAAGGGAAGCAGTTTGGAACAGGATGGGAGGTCTGGTGCGAAAAGCGCTGGCCGCTGGCACGGTTCATCATGGATCATCATGGTATATCATGGTGTCGTGTGTTGAGTAGATCTTACTTTACAGCTGTCATAGGTTGCTGGCTTACATGCTTGGCTCCGATGGTGAATCGCACAGAACAGTTCACAGACACACCACGCTCGATGCATATCCCTCAGAAACTACGGAACGTTTTTGTTCTTTCTTTGGTCGTGCTGTTTATATGGTCTTGTGGTTGTAGTGTTCTGTTTGGAAGGGGGCATCGGGGACGGAAAAGTGCAAATTGTTGGTCTTCGTGGTGCCATGGCTGTGCTGGAAGACAACAGTGTCCATGCGATTCAGTTCACCGTCCTCTTCAATGGTGCGCTCTTGCTCATTTTCCTGGTCATCTTTGAAGTCTCCCGGACAGAGAAACGAGTTCTTCAAGCTTTGGAATGATTGGAATGTCGGAATTCCTGAGAGTTGTGTCCTGCCCTTGAAGGGCTCTAAGTTCGTGGGAGCATTAAAACAGACATAGTGATCTTGTTTTGCACCCCCAATTCATGGCAAACGGGTTCAGACACCTGATGACACCTGAGACTTGAGGTCTTGCTGAGAAAGCCTGGTACCAGACATCAATTGGCTCCCAAACTTCCGGCACCCGAAAGCGTGGGCGTCCTTTGGACCCGATGTCCACAGCTCTTGGTGGGAGGCTTCATCGCCTGGGCGGCCAATGGACTTCGTCTCCGTGGCCGTTCAGCGCCGCGCGCGAGGGAGGCAGCTTCAGCGCTAGAGACGGAGCTGGCGGAAGCGGAGGCGGAACCGGAGCTGGGTTTGGACGCGCAGGTCTTAATTCGTTTCTGCCAACTGGGATTGAACTTCAGCCTCGTGGGCACCGCTTTGTCTTTGATCCTTCTGCCGATGTATGCCACGGGTCCTGGTGGTGCGCCTGGCTTCAATATACTGTGCCTGTCGAATTTACAAGTCAATGGCTCTACACGTTTTTGGTGTGTAGTCCTGGCAGCCTACATCTTAACCTCTGCCTCCAGTTATTTGGTGCTTGCTGAGTGGCACACCTTCGCCCGAATGCGACGAAGGCACTTCGCGGCTGCAGCCTCTGGTAGGTCCGGGCCTGTTGCAGCCCAAGCCTGCAGAACCCTTTTGGTCCAGGAAGTGCCTTTGAGACAGTTCTCAGAGGAGGAGATCAGTGCGTTTTTCGAGAAGATTTATGGTCCAGGCTCAGTCTACAGCTGTGCTTGCGTGGGAGAATCAGAGACTCAGATGACTCAGTCCATAGAACTCCCTTCAGTGCACCTCATCCAGATGAACATCTCTGCATCTGCATTTGTGACGCTAAAGTCGGCGGAGCATTGTGCTGTAGCCCAGCAAGTGATTTTGAGCCATGATCCAGGCCAGGTGTTCTTCTAAACGGTTTTGGAGCAAATCTGTATTGCTCGCATTGTGATAATTCCCTAATCCACTTTCTGTAGTTGCCTGTTGCCCTCAGTTCTTACAATGCAGGTTCACATAATGGCCCTTCATCTGAAAGTAGCCCTGCTCGGAGAGAGTGGGCTGAAGCGAACCCCCAGTGACTGCAAGGAGCTCAAGAAACCACTACTAGCCACTAGTAAGGCCAGGAGCCCCTTAGTAGTGTTTTTGTCCTACTGGGCAAGAGTAGCCTAGGAGTGAGCCAGGTAAAAAGTCGTCTTGGACGGACCATTCAGTCGATCGACTTGCCCAGGCTGGAAGGTGAGTGGGGCCCCAGAGCCTCGGGACTTAGTGTGGAGGAATGTGAAAAAACCACTGAGACTGACAGAGATGCATCACAAGGCGGGTTTGGCTCTGAGCATTCTGGGCATCTTGTTTTGGTCAGTTCCAGTGACTTTGATCCAAGCCTGGGCCAATATTGGCACACTCTCGCGGTGGATTCCAGCTGTGGTGAAATTGAACGAAGTGTCACCCACCTTCTATTCCTTCTTGACCAGCTATTTACCCGTGCTCGCCTTGATGGGTTTGCAAGCCTTATTGCCTCAATTCTTTCAGGCGATGGCTATGGCCGAGGGCCACCGAACGAAAAGTGCCATCCAACGAGTGGTCTTGAACCGATGCTTTTCCTATCAGATGGCTTCATTGTATGTGACCGTTTTGTCCGGATCCTTGTGGGATTCTCTCCAACAGATTCTGGATCATCCGCAAGAAGTGCTGGACATTTTGGCACATTCCTTGCCCAAAGCCAACGTTTATTTCCTCTCATTTGTCATGGCTAGAGCATGTACGGGCATTCCATTTTTACTCTTGCACTGGCAGTTCTTTTGTGCCAAGTGTGCTCCCCAAGAGCAGATACACAGTGCCTATGGATATGAGGCAGCCAACCTGGCGTTGGTGTTTGTCATCGGGCTAACGTACTCGTTCATCGCTCCTGCCATTCTTCCTGTTTGTGCACTTTATTTTGCCTTTGCCACGCTCTCCTACCGGTGGCTCTTCAAGCACGTTTATGACGAAGAGTTTGACAGTGGGGGTCAGTTTTGGTACGACCTCTTCAACTGCGTCTTCGTCGGGTTGCTGCTCAGCACGCTATCTTTATTGGGATTGGCCGCGCTCTATGGTTCATCCTTGCAGGTGTTTGCTTTGAGCCCCCTGCCATTCTTGGTGATGTACCTGGCTTTCCGTGGTTGGAGAAATGGCTGGAAATCGCGGTGGACTTCCCTGGAAGATGCCATCAATGCGGAAGAGGGTGGAGTGTCCACCTTCAAGACAGATCTTTATGCTGAACCGGGCCTTGAGTGACATGAGTGACATCAATCGGGCGCATCGGTGTGATTGGAAGCCATTGATATTGAGTTGTGTGCCATTGGTCGTAAGTTGGAGGATCAATCTATCAGGTTGGAGGCCCTTGTTCTGCAGATAGCGACAGCTATTGGGTGGATTTTGCTTCTACTAAAGAGTTTGAAACAGACTCATGTCTCAATGGACATGAGACTTCGTCGATTGTTTGGAAAACATGTCGTGAGCTTTGCCCCAGAGAGTTTCTGTGTCGCTTCAGTCTGTTTCTGACAGCCAGCTTTGAAGAAGGCAACACGACTGAGAGAATCTCCATCTCACCTTTCCTCCAACCTAGCGATGGCCTCCAACCTAATGACCTATCAACACGACTGAGAGAATGTCCATCTGAATTGGCTCAGAACGGAGGACTCATGGGGGCCGGGCCGTCAAGTGTCCGGGATCCTTGTGCTCGGGATGTCTGGATGTCTCCGGATTTTGTGAAACACGGGGCGTGCGCTTTTTTCTATTGACAAATCAGCCTTGTTCCGCAATTGAATTGCTGGTGGTGTGTTTTTGTTCATTTTTTTCCCTGCAAGAGCTTGGATTCTGAGGGCTTCGAACATTTGATCTTCTTTGTTCATGCAAGGCCGATGAGAAGCTTCGAGCCGACGTAACTGCTAGACACCAAGAGGTTCTGAACTGTTCAAGGAAAGCATCTTGCTATTTCATCATATTCATCCTTTAGAGCCACTCACGCGTGATTGGTGTGCAAGATGTTGCTCAGCTTGGCATTCCAAGACAACTCTGAATGACATTAGCTTAGAGTTTTTGTTTGTCTTCACCGGGTGCGATGACACATCTTGCCCCACGATTGGTCACACAAAGACAGAGAGGGACGCCCGTGTTCAAACCAGCAAGCCCGTGCTTGGCCAAGGTCAAGCTCCACGGTGCCAAACGAGCTCGAGGAGATGGGCGACCCAACAAGACCCTTTTGGAGGCGACAACGGGCAAACCGGAGAGATCGGGATTCGAAAGGTTCAGTCAGTAAAGAAACAGAGACTGACTTGCTATAGACCTCTACTTGCCGTGGCTGGCTAAGCTATAACTGTTCTTTTTGGGGTTCAATCAGTCGCTCCTTCCCACCTCACCCGATCTCGATCTCATCACCGTCAGGATGCCTTCAATGCCGTGGGCCCCGATTCGGCCTGACGCCCCAGCGGCGTCCGAAGGCACCGGCGGCCCTGCGGACCCAAAGCAAAGGACTGAAGGGAAGGACCGAAGAAGTTTGCAGGACTGAAACTCGATCGGAGAATTCACCTGAACTCTGCTGAGTTCCCTTATTTGTAGCGGACGACCTCTTACTGCAAATTTTAATTGACTTCCATCCCAGGTGGCACTCGGCAGTTGGACCCATACAGAAGCCAACTGCTCCTTATGGCATAATACAAAGGTTATATCGTTATACCTATTCCATGATGCCCAAATTCGGCCAAGTTTGTATCCGTAGCGGTGGGTGACACCCAGTGACCATCCGCGTGACACGCCCCTGTCACGCGTGACAGTCCTCGCTGAGGCGGGGACCATCAGTTTCCTGCAATTCAAACGGGCCTCGGAGCGCTTGGGGATCCGCGGTGTCTCCGAGAAGCAGCTAAAGGTGGCCTTCACTCCCTTCGAGGCGGCCTGAAAAAACACCAAGTGGAGGCAAGTGAGACACAAAACAGAACAGATTTCTGTGTTTATTGTGTGACAACGCGCGAAAGCAGCATAAGTGAAAACAAACACAAGTGAGAAACAAGATATTCAAGATTTCACCACGGTCTGGGCGACAAGTTGCGAACAGATCGTTTAAGTTGGCGTGACTTGCACCATCCGTCAGCTGACCATTGTGATTGCTGCTTGGTGTGCGCTTTCAGTTTGAAGCCGCTACCCACCATGCATGGCACCAAGCCCTCCCAATGTCTAGATGCTTAGCTTAGAGCCGGGCTCAAGTTACGAAAAGAGCGATGGAGTGGCTTAGCTTTGGCTACCGACTTTCTGGTGCAGAAAGTCGACGGCGAGCAGTGCACAAGTGCCTCGTTGTCTTCAGCCATGACCTCGCGAAAAGAGGATGGAGTGCAGCTTCAGCCGCTTCCTTCTACAAGGAACTGGCTGGGACTGTGAAGCTAAGCCTGTGAAGCGTGAGGATGATGAGGAGTGCCTGGACAACGTGGGTCATGATGACATTGGTGGCTGCGAAGAAGCCATCAGCCAAATTCGAGAGATGATTGAGTTGCCATTGCGCCATCCCACGCGCTTCATGTCTTTGGGGGCAACGCCCCCGGCCAGTCTGCTGCTCTATGGGCCGCCAGGCAGTGGCAAGACGTTGATCGCCAGGGCAATTGCCAATGAGACAAGCGCCTCCTTCTTCCTGATCAACGGTCGAGAGCTCATGTCGAACACGGCAGGTGAGGCCAAGAGCAAGCTGCGGAAGGTCTTCAAGGATTCTGAGAAAAATTCCCCTGCAATCATATTCATTGATGACATCGACTCCATTACCCTGAAGGACGAGACTTGTGGAGACCGTGCGAATTCCATAGTGTTCCAGCCGGGGCGGTTGATTCGCAACATGAACAGTCTGGTTCGGGTGATGGCAGCAACGCACGACCTCGGCACCATCCATTCAGCGCTGCTGCCATTTGACCGATTGCTGAACATTGGTGCGCCGGACGACAATGGAAGGTTGAAGATTTTGCGCATCCACTGCAAGAACATGAAACTGGCCAGGGATGTCTTTCTCCAAGAGGTGGCAGTGAACACCGACGGCTTCCATGGTGCGGATCTGGCACAGCTTTGCAACGAGGCGGGGCAAGAATGCAGATTTGAGACGGAGCTGGACCCGTTCAGCTGGATGGAAGAGAGCATGGACATCTCATTTTTGGATTCCATGGCCGTGTCGCAGAAGGACTTCGAGTCGGTCATTGGCAGAATGAACGCAGATGTGAGGATGGAAAATGGGCAGCTGAAGAATGTAATTCGGCAGTTCAATCAGAAAATTGAGCAGTTGAAGAATGAAAATGTGCAGCTGAAAAAGCAAGTGGAGGTTGAGCAAGATCGCCTGAGGCGCTTCGATCTTCAACCACAACTGGATGGAGAAACCTGGCAGTATCAAGCAAGGAGCGGCGAGTGGGCGACTTTTCAAGACAAACATAGCCTAGAGCTCATACACAAGTTTCTGGAAGGCCACCAAACATGCGAGCTGATGATAGATGGTCAAGTCTATGAGTACGATTTCAATAGAATGGTCCAGACGAACAAGCGCACCAAAAGGGAGCGCCGAATTCGGTTCTGCTCGAATCTTCCGGAGCATTGGCGCATCTCTGATTGCGATTTCTTGAAGATGTTGCAGCCAGGAATTCAGGGCAATGGCCAAGAGGGGTCAGACCATCGAATATCCCTTGTAACAGATTCAGCCATCTTGTCCACGTTGGAAAACTTGCTAAACCGGTCCAACGACGGAACAGTTTGCTCTTGCCTTCATGGAGAATCAACCTTTCGGCTGGTGGAAGCTTACCAGATCAAGAATTGGCAGCTGTGGCGACGGTATCAGCGCCACGTGCGAAGCATTGTTGAGAAGCACAAGCAGTTTGCCATCAAACCCACAGGTGTTGTTGACCCACCTGTTGGCGAAGCATTGACCCAGTTTGCCAAAGACATTGAGGTCAACCTGGAGGGCAACGAATTTCTTTTGCTTCATGGCACGCGAGACTTTGACCTTGCACAAGAGATTGCCAACGAAGGCTTTGACAGTCGAATTGCTAGGTCAGGCGGGCTTTATGGGTCAGGCACATACTTTGCAGCACAAACATGCAAATCTGCCCAGTATGCCACTCACAAGGGCAGGGAAGAGAAAGCATCGAGGCAGATGATCGGGACTGTGCTGGTGGCTCGTGTTGCGATCGGAGACCCATTTTATACGCCAAAGCAGTGTCCAGACCAAAAGCGCCCACCAAAGAAACCTGGTTCTCGCTGCCAAGGCGGCGCCTCCAAGACGACTATGGAGTACGACTCCATCATCGCCAAGCCAGGCATCCCAAATGGTCAACGCAATGGTCAGCAGGCTCATATGGAGTTCGTGACCTTTGCTTTGCATCAATCATATCCGGAGTACATTTTGAGATTCATTGAAGAGTAGGCGTGGCGAGAGAAAAAAGAGGAGCAGCTGAATATACAAAGAGCTAGACGCATCACGTGATACTTTGGGGACTTTGAGGCTACTTGAGTTCGGTGCCGTCTGGCACGAATGTGCGACATGCTTTGCTACACATGTTTGTGGAGCTGGATCCTTTGCAGGTCTCTCACGCTGGTCGTTTTGCATGCGTGTTTTGTCAGCAACTGGTACTGGACGCGCAGACAGAAAGCTTACATGTAGCTGCATAGAATCACATATCATATCACATTGACTCGTTGTATGTATTGTGTGCATTACGAACATTGGGGGACGTGTAGTGCAGCGTTTGTGGGGCCTGAATAGTATAATAATGAGATCATTGAGTTCTGCAGATTGAGTGCGTTGAAGTGTCTGAGGCAGACTTCGTAGACTTTGTTTGTGAAGAGCGCAGGCCTGCGCCGCTCTGTTCTCAGTCTAGGGCCTCTAGGGTCATATGATGGAGGTGTCGGATTGACTTCAGACAACTTCAAACAAGTTCTGCGCTTACCTTTTCTGCTTCCTACCCAGCCACTGCCCTATCTGACTTGTGTCCATGGCCCTATGCTCAACCAGAATGTGAAGTTGTGATTTGGTTGAGGACAGGCCCAGAGCCAAAGCGGCGTCCAGCTTCAGGCCAGTTCTGCGATATTGTGGCGCTTGGAGCCACACTCGCGGGACGTATGTGACTTTTTCTTATTGGCTCGAATGAGGAGTTTGAAGGATTCTCTTGGATTCTATATACTAGCCTCCAATCTAGTAAAGTCTCTTATTATGCTTCAAAGCCCTCGTCACGTACCAATACTATTTTGTCTTCCTTCCAGGTATGGCAGCGAGGCCCAAGGACCGCGAAGACTTTGATTTGCTTGTAGTAGCTTCATCATGCTTCATCCTTGCCCACATGGAGTATTATCTGTGAATGCACTTCATTTTGGGGCAGTGCCATCGCAGAGATGGCAAACCCGAGAGTGCTATGGCCACTGAGTTTGCTCATAATAAGTTATAAAGCAGCGTCGTTTGGAGTTCTTTTAGGTCTGTTGAAGCCAAAGCCAACGAGTGAAGCACCATGCATCCGGAGGATGTGCTCTCCGACACCTCCGAGATGGGCCTCCGAATGTCGGCCGCGCGCATCGCGGACGCCATCTTCGATAAGGAGGCCTGGGTGTGATCGGCAGAAACGCAGTGAGAACAAGAAGGCTTCAATGGTCGAAGAACATCAAGAAACGCCTTCTTATATAGTGTTCATCTTCTTGCCAACGTGTTTGATTGAAGATGTTTGAAACCCAAGCACCTTGCACAGGTGGATTTGCGAGAAGCCTTTAAGAAGTGGGACAGGAAGAATCTCGGCGGGCTTGACGAAACTGAATTCCAGGTGGGAATCGATTTTGACATTTGTATACAATTGTTGCGATTGTTGCACCGCCACAACATCATAGCAAGCGTGGCTTTGCTGGGAAGCGTGCATGTTCTTCGGCAGGGCGCTCTCTCCAGTTTGGGATTCGACGCATCACCGGAGATGGTCTCAGCTGTCTTTAAGGCTCAAAGTGTTGCTATGTTCTTCAAAGCCCGCTTCCTCCCCCTAGTAGTGATGGCCTCCAACCTAAGAACGATGGCCTCCAACCTACTAGCAAACTAGAATTAGACCTTTCTTGTCCAAACGATCACTTTCTCGTCCACATCTTGCGGTTTTGCCAACATTTACCACTGGACTTGTCAGGTGTTTGACTTGAAAGGAGACGGTCGTGTTTCCTGCTGGGAGTTCACCCGGGGCCTTCACAACCTGCAAGCCCCTTCCGCTGCATTTGGTGACCAAAAACGATGCAATTCGGCAACAAGTGGAGTCTATGAAGTCGGGAAGATGCAGACGATGCAGAACAGTTTGATCCTTCAGCTGGAAGTTGACACCTTTAGGCGGCTGCTGAAGCGACTGCATCGGAAGAGGAGCGTGGTGATCTCAGAGGGCTGGGGTGAAGCCGCCAGCTTTGCAGAGCTCGAGAGCCCTTATTATTTGCCGAGAGTTTTGCCTAAGGGCGGGCACGAAGAGATAGGAAGAAAGCATCTGCACTTCGAAAACAGGCAGCGGGCACAGACATTTGATTAGTAGGGTTCAATGGAAGAGGCTTATATAGTTTATTGCTTTCGTTACTGCAGTTGTGGACTTTTGAGGAGAACCAGCTGACCGTCATCGGGGCTGGTTTAGGTGGAGGACATTTGCCAGAGGCTCTCTGGAGCATGGTGTGCACCGCAAAGAGGAAACAAGCTCAAAATACGGACCAACACGACGGAGTCAAGACATGTCAAAGTGCCTTGAGTAGTGCTTGGAGCACCTTGTTCAAGGCGTTTCCTCTGAACAATCCTGTTTTGATTGTTCTTTTTTTTGTGTGCTGCCGTTTGGTTGTCAGGCTACTGCACTGTCCGGAGCGCTTGCGGGGGACGATGCTGTTTGGACCCCAGCAACATCCATCCTCCGACTTCTGCGGAGGTGAGACGAGGTGTTGAGGCGAGTGCTTTGTTTTTTTAAGGCATGCCTCAGGAAGGCGCTCCGCGCCGCAGAAGACGCGGGAGTAGATGCAGAGGATCTGAAGGCATCTGATTTCCGCGGCATATCTGACTTGTGATATCTGACTCGATCTATATGCCTGTGCATCTTGAAAGTTTCTTGATATTCGCAGATTTTTGGGGGGTCGCTGCTGTTGCTACGCATGATCTCTTTGAAGGCTGCCAAGTTGAAACTTCAAGAGCTGGAAGAGAAAGCTGCCGCCGCAGATGCGTTGAACCCTGAGATGCCACAGATGGGCATGGATTCTAATGAATGATGGGGGGAAGGAGCTGAAGGATGGTCTGAGTAACGGGGAAGGCTCAAGACTTCGCATGTGCTTGCATCGTCGTTGGATCATTTTGAAGATGTTCTATCAATGCACTTGATGATTGCAGCATTGTGAAGAAGGTTTAGCCCATTGTGTGAAGAAGCTTTAGCTTATAGTAGCTATAGGTTAGCCCATGTTAGGTTGGAGGCCATTGCTACAAGGGTGTCACCACGGAAGCGTCGCTGTGCGCGTACGACCGCGGTTGCCGTGTGCGGCGTTTTTCAAGGTTGGAGGACGCGATGGACGCCCAGCCGCGGAGCGCCCGGCGCTTGCGGCGAGCGCTGGAAGACGCCGAAGCGGCGGGGCTCGGTGAGGCACGAGACCCGACGGGTGGGGCGCGGATCTAAGTATTGCTAAGTTACTAAGCACTACCAGTGACGAGACTCATGAGAGAGAAACAGAATGTTGGAATGGTCCTGATTCACCGGTGAAAGGAGCTGTGAACGTTGTATTAGAGACAAATCCACTCACAGAGATTTGTTTGCTTTGATTGATTCAGTGATTTGTAATGAATTATAGTGATCCTGATCCTGAACATCTGTGAGGTGTAGAATTTGGTGCAATATTTAGTGTTGTTTGTTTGGTCATTTTTAGGCAACAATACGCTCTCGCACATGGGCACTTGTCCACTGCCTCTCAAGGACAGCCTAAGAGGGGCACGAAAGAGTTTGGCACGAGAGGACTCAGATGGTGGGAGAGACGCACTGTTCGTTGAATCTGTGACTTTTTAGGAACAAGAAGCTACTAGGGGCTCCTGGCATCACTACTAGGAGCGATCGGACGCTACTAGGGGCTCCTGGCCCTACTACTAGGAGCATGTTTGCTAATTATTAGGAGCAAGGATGCAGGGCTTCTTTGCAAGCTTCAGGAGTGGAGGGATCAAGTGAGAGGAAGACTACAGGAGGCCATGCAGCGTTCCGGGCCTAGAGCATTTCCACGTCCTACCTACTGAGTTTGAGTCCATCCTCAAGTCTCGAAACTCCTCTTGTAGTAGCTTCTTGCTACTAGTAGTAATGGCTTCCACCCTAGTAGCGATGGCCTCCAACCTAGTACTAATAGCGATGGCTTCCAACCTAACGGCTCTTATTACTCATACTATCTCATACTATTCGAGTGCATTCTAAAGAGATCGGCGGGGCCTTTCCGAGGTCGGGATATTGCAGAGCTGCGCGAAGCGATTGCAGTCCGGCGCATAGTTCTGGGCTGGTCAGACTGTAACTCACCACTGGTCCATCCCTGGAAGGATGGTGAGGCTGCAAGCTTGCCTGAGGATGCCATGGCCCTGGGAGCCTCAAACCGTTGCACTTTTGGATACTTCGCTGTCGGATGGTCTCAACAAGCTTCAGGAATTGGTTCCCGCAAGGGAGATTTTGGCAGAGGAAGCGCGGCGTGTGCGGAACTTATGGGTCTTTTTCGTGACGCCAATAACTCGATGGGCAGGGCAGGAAGGAGGAAGAGAATGTACGTGGCAGAACTTAAAAGTCTTGGAGGGGTTGGAGGCCATCGCTATTAGAAACAAAGAAAGGTCCAATATAGCTTGCTATTAGATCTTTCTCTCGCGTTTGGGGCATCCTGTGAGGCACGAGCACGTGAAGCTTTGGAGAATGCGCGTGACGCAACCAGCTTGCAAGAGGCTCGGGTGTGAGAGAGGGAGCATGCCTTCCAAAACAAGGCAGCTAGGGCTGAGTGGGACCTAAGGTGTCGAAGAATGCTTTGTATTTTGGTCCAGTAGCTTCTTTGCTTAAAGGATCAAAGGAGAACAAGGAGAACAAGAGGGTCTCACGTCTCAAGAAAGGAAATAGAAAGACAGGATTCAAAAGAAAGAAAGACCGATAAAGAGCAGCCCTATTCGTAAGAAAGAGTGGTGGCATCCACAACGCATTGTTTTTTTGGTTCCTCCTAAATCACTATCTCATATAGTCGCTTCTTTGTTTTCTCTTCCACTTTCAAATCTGGGCCAGGTTTCTTTTCCTAGCTGACTCCTGACACGTTTTACCACGTTGAAAACTGGGTGCCATTCGCCCGGGAGGCCATTCGCCTGGGCGAACGGGTTGGCTTGAGCGACTCAGAGCTCGAGAAAGCTCGCAAGGCTCTCGAAGTCCGGTGCTCAAGTTGAAACGGAGAAGCTGAGGTTGAAAGATGGGCCATAGGTATACCCCTCAACGGCTACAAAGGTGGAGAACCAACGTTCGGTTCCTTCTAAGACTTGAGGTTTTCCAAAACGAAACCTACTTTGAATGGAACTAGATGAAGTATAGATCAGATTTTGCAAAGCTCAGACACATGGAGAAGCTTCATAAATGTCATAGCACCTGAACGACGAGGGTTCTATGCGTCATATGTTTGTCACTTGAATCAGAGTGCTGGCCATTGCCGATTGCAAGGAGTTGACTGGCCGCGATTCTGCCGAGCAGCAGTTGAGGGAAGCTATTCGTACAAGGTGGGTAGTTATAGGAGTTTTGTCACAGAAGGCGCCTCAGGTCATTTCATTTCTGGTATTCTTTTCTTTGACCTTTGTCGCTAGTAGGTTGGAGGCCATCGCTAGCAGGTTGGAGGCCATTGCTAGTAGTTTCCTTTTGCGTATTAAAATTAGGCTGGAGGCCATTGCTGTTCTTTTCTTTGACCTTGGTTTTTCCTTTTCTCTTTCCTCCTTGCCCATTCTCTGACGATTTCAGGGACATCTCTGCCCTGCAGAAGGCCATTGCACAAGGAAAGGCGCAGGGAGCAAATGCTTCGTTGATCGCAGAGGCTGAGCGCTTGTGACTTGGTTATGTAGCGGTCTCCAACGCTCTTCAAACGAAACGACTGGCAACCTTTGTCCTTAGATCAGTGGCAATGGAAAAGGATCAGAAAAAACCTGAAGAAAAAATCACCATCTGAGGCTTGATGAAGAGTCTCAAAAGCAAAATGCACGGAAGAGACTGGAAGATGCAATGGCAAGTGGGGATGTTGAGCAGCTGGGTGATGCCCTTCGGCACGCTCTAGGAGTGTTGCCCGAGCATGACAGCACGCTGCATGCAGCTCGAGAGCAGCTAAAGATATTGGAAGGGCAGGCAGCAGCTCGAAGAGATCTGGCTGAAGCCATGAAGTCAGGTGATGCTTCTCGCTTGCGGAAGGCCCTTGAAGCAGCAGAAGCTGCAGGTCTGAGCAGTACAGATTTAGCAGGAGCTCGAGAGATGTTGGATGTCGAGACTCGTAGACTTCAAGCTCGAGACGCCTTGAAATCAGCCCTTCTTTCGGAGGATGTGGCTCGACTTAGAGCTGCCATCCATGAAGGAGAACATGTCGGGTTACCCGAGGATGAGCTCACCGAAGCGCGCCAGCGCCTCGCCAGGCTTGAGGACCAAGCTTCCGCGCGGCGGAAGCTTGCTGAAGCGATGTCGTCCAGAAAGGTACAAGATCTTCAAGAAGCGATTTCATTTGGAGAATCTATGGGCTTAGGTGAGAAGGAGCTGGCTCCCGCTCGCCGGGCTTTGGACTCAGAGCTGCGCAAGGAGCAAGCACGTTCGCACTTGCAAAGGGCTGAAGCTTCAGGAGACAGCAACGAATTAGCGAAAGCAATTGAGGAGGCCAAAGCAGCTGAACTGGGGCCGGCTGAACTTGCCAGTGCGCAGGCTGCTTTGAAGAGGGCGGAACGCAAAGCAGCAGCTCGCACGCGGTTGCAGGAGGCCGTGCGTTCCGGAGATGCATCGTCGATTCGAAGTGCTTTGGAAGAAGCAGAAGCCGCAGGCTTGAGTGAAGAAGAGCTCCAAGAAGCCAGAGACATGTTGAGCACACAGGACTTGAAAGCTGTTGCTCGACGTCGATTGCAAGATGCTACCGCTAGCAGAGACAAAGAAGCACTGCAAGTTGCCTTGGACGGTGCAGCTGCTGCTGGGCTCTCACCAGATGATGTAGAAGTTCGAGAAGCTCGCCGTGTCCTGGAAGAAGAGCTTCGAAAAGAGAATGCGTCTCAAGCTCTTCGAACTGCCGCAGCTGCGTCCGATGTGTCGGCCTTGAAGTCCGCTTTGGAAGAAGCTCGAGCTGCCTCCGTGCGCGCTGCTGAGATTGCCGAGGCGGAGGCCATTCTCAAGCGCTTAGAAGCCCAAAAGGCCGCACGAGAGGAGCTTCAAAAGGCCATGTCATCCAGGAAGACGGAGGATCTTCAGAAAGCGATCCGATCTGGTGAAGAGGCAGGTCTTCAAAGTGAGGTGGATGCAGCTCGTGCGGTGCTTGAACAGGAAGAACGCAAGGCTTTAGCCCGACGAGCTTTGCAAAAGGCCATGGTCACTCGCAATGAGGCAGCCTTACAAGAAGCTATTCGAGAAGCAGAAGCCGCTGGTCTTCCCGCACACGAGTTGGCAGCTGCCAGAGCAGCTTTAGCAGCTGAAGATGAAAAGAGCAAGGCTCGCAAACGCTTGGAACAAGCCATGGCCGAACGTGCCATTGGCCCTCTGAAATCTGCACTTGCTGCAGCCGAACGGGCACAGCTCAAAGCCGAAGAGCTGTTGCCTGCCAAAGAGTTGCTGAAGGAGCTGGAAGAGAAGGCAGGGTGATGCTCGACGCCCGTTTCTTTTCATGTCCATCCTGGCCCAGAAAATGTCCGGACCAACCTCAAGCATGAACCAGCCGTAGAGATATACTATGCTATACTGGTTGTTTGCGGTTGTACTTACTGTAAGACCGTGAGAAACGTGCGAGAAGAACAACAAGATTGACTTCACCTGAGCCACTTCTCTTCACTTCTCTTGAGTCACCTCTTTTCACGAAAGCTAGCCTTAGCTAGCTGGAGTTGCTCTTGCTTTAGCAAGTTAAGTGACGGGGTGGACGCACCTCAGAAACCTCAAATAATTGATTAAATCAATCTTATGGACCCCCCCCCCCCCGCGGTTCGACTCCCCCCTGCGCGCGGTGAGCGGGACCACCAAGCAGCTGCAGCACACCAAGCATCTGCAGCGCCCAGCGCAGCAGCGGCAGCAGCAGCAGCACCAGCAGCAGCAGCAGACCACCCAGCGGCGGCAGCAGCAGCAGCAGCATACCCAACGCCGCGGCAGCAGCAGCCGCAGCAGACCACCCAGCGCCAGCAGCAGCAGCAGCAGCAGACGACCCGGCGCCTGCAGAGCACCCAGCGCAGCAGCGCCCAGCGCAGCAGCGGCAGCAGCAGCACCAGCAGCAGCAGCACCAGCAGCAGACCACCGGAAGCCCGGCTAGCTTTCGTTCACCCCCTCTGGCCTCAAGTTGGTCGCGGGGCCCTTCTTGGTGAACCCATGTGAAACACGTCCCCATTCTCTTCGTTCATCCTTCAGGACGCGGCCAAAAAGAAGCTCCGAGAAGCCATGGCTTCTCGTGACCCGAGTCGTTTGAGGCCGCACGAGTTAAAAGCAAACGTCACACTGCAACCTTATTGGTAGGTTGGTATGAATAATAACACACCGTTGGGCCAGTACATCGAAATCACGCAGGATTTTGGTTTTTGCATGAACCCAAAATGGCTGCGTGCAGGGCAGCCATTGCCAAAGCTAAAGCAGTGGGCCTGAAGGAGGATGTGGCGGAGGCCGAGCGTATTCTGGCAGAAGAGGAGGCCTGGTGCATGTCGGGTTGGAAGCCACAGGCACCGGACGGGACCTCCGCAGGTTCTGTCGCTTTCCGCCAGCCGCCAGGCGAAAGAGGAAGCCAGGAGAAGGTTGGCCGCAGCCGAAGCGGCCGGGAGCATTCCAGAGCTCGAGGCGAAGCTCTCACGAAAGACGCCGTAGACACCGTTGAGAAGAAGAACTTGTTTCCGTGCCTTCCATGACCCAAAAAATAGGCAACATAGGCCCAAAAAAACCTGTTTGGGGGGAACTCATCCAACAGCTTGTCCGAACGTTTCACACCCATTCAGGTCGGTCAATTCGGTTGGTGGGTTGGTGCGTGCGTTCTTTTTCTTCGCGGCGCGCGGTGCTGATGCGAAGCCTTAAGTCATGGCAACGTCAGAGCATTCATGTTCATGATGCTTGTGAGGTTTCGTCATCTCATTCCCTCCAAACTCTGCAAGCATCAGGCCTTAGTAAGTATTTGTCCATGTTCCCTGCCTCATCCTGCTTCCAACTGGTCTTATAGGTTTCACCCCTTCATCTCCCATTAGTTGGAAAATCATGCTCTCCAATTCCCTTGCTAAGTGCTGCTGGCCTGCTGGCAAGAACGCTTTTGGCTTGGAATGCCTCTCTCGGCGAGCAAGGGCACGACAAAAAGGAACGATTGGAAATGCTTTCTTGGTCTTTCCTATTCAGTCCTTATACCCTAATGCCTTCAGTCCTTGACGGCCTTCGGCACAATTTGACGAGAACCTCTAGAATATCTCATGCAACCCGGAAGCTTGTTGCAGGCATATCTGAAGGGAGAGTAAGGACACAACAAAGGACACAAAAGTGGATGAAACGGAAAACACACATGGAAAAAAAACAATCAAATCAAAGTAACCAACATTCAAAACCAAAACCGCAGACATCAAAAACCTATGAGACCTTCTTGGCCTCGAACCTCACGAGGCCGCGCTGGAGGCCGCGACTGCTGCCCAGCTGCGGCCGGATGAGTTGCGAGCAGCGCAGCAGCGCCTGGAGCAGCTGCGACGCCGTGAGGCCGCGCGGACGGCGCTCCAAGAGGCCATGAGGCGCAGTCGTGACGTGACGATGACGTGACGAGCCGTGCAAAGGGAGTTTTGGTTTCACTTCACTGCAGGTATCTTCATGAACTAATATTATCTATCTAGGGCCTTATAGGATTGAGATGGAAGAAAGAAAAGCGAAAGAAGCGGAGGGATGTTTTTCTTCCATCCAGACATCACATAGAACATATTTACATCTAGTAACAAACGTGCCCAGGCAAGATGATGTGGAGCAGTTGACGCAAGCTCTACGTGCAGCTGAAGGGGAAGGGGTGGAAGACAGCTTGCTGGATGAAGCTCGTCGACTCCTGCGACAGAAAGAGAAGTTGGCTCGAGCTAGAGAGGCTTTACAACGAGCTCTTGGGCAGGGTGAGATCAACGAGCTCCGCTCCGCGATCGAACACGGCCGCGCCAACGGTTTGGAGGAGGAGGAGTTAGCAGCGGCAGAGGCAAAGCTGAAGGAGATGGAAGAGGCTGAAGAATTGGAAAGGAAGCGAAGGGAAGAAGAAGCTGACCGAGCAGAGCGAGTTCGTGAGGAAGAGCGTTTGGCGATGTTGGAACGTGCCAAGCAAGATCATGCAAAGGATTTGCTTCAGAAAGCTCTTGGTTCCAGAGATATGGATGCCTTACGTGCTGCGATCGATGCTGCCACAAAGGTGGGGCTGGATGAAAGCAGTATTGATCAAGCTCGGCAGGCCCTTGAGGAGGAAGAAGCCAAAGAACAAAAGCTTCTTGAAATGCAATCTGCACGGAATGCTCTTGCAGCAGCGGTCTCATCGGGGGACATCAATCGATTGCAAGATGCGTTGCAGCGTGGTGCTTCCGCGGGGTTGGAGGACTCCGAGTTGGATGCTGCCAGAGAAGCCCTGGAAAGGTGTGAAAGAAGAGCTTCTGCTCGTGCAGCTCTGCAGGAGGCCCTGAAGAGTGGAGCTTCTTTGGATCAGATCCATGAGAGCCTTCGGAAGGCCGAAGCCCTCGGTGGGAGTGGAAATGAAGCAGATGCACTGCTCATTGAAGCAGTCAAGAAGAAGGCAGCACAAGAGCAGGCAAAGAAAGACCTGGAAGAAGCACTTTCGTCAAACGATGTGGAGAAGATCCGGCAAGCGCTGCTCAAGGCAGGTGAGGCGGGTTTGAGTGCCAATGTGTTGCAAGATGCGATCGCTGAATTGCAAAGACTGGAGCGAAGGGCGGATGCCCAACAGAAGCTGCAGCACGAACTAGAAGCTTCTAGAGCGCATAGCACCGATGTGGAGAAGCTTCGAGGTGCTATCGAAGCTGCCAGCGAGGCAGGTTTGGATGTCAGTGAGGCAGAGGCTGCACTAAGGGAAGTTGAGAGGCGAGCAACAGCACAACGGCGATTGTCGAATGCCATGAGTTCCAGCCCGGCGAATTTGGATGCCTTGAGAGCAGCCTTGGAAGAGGCCAAGGAAGCTGGGCTTGATGGAGACGTCGTCAAGGAGGCGGAAAAAAGGCTTTCACAAGAAGAAGAGCGTGCGAATTTGACGCGGACTTTGCAGAAGATGGGCACTGCAACTCTCGCAAAGGACGCGACAAGCCTTGGCCTGGATGCTACGAGCCCTGTCGGTCCCTTTGAGACATTGCGTCCCGACGCAGGCGATGAACCTGACAGAATACACACCGCTGTGGCCCTGCGCTCAGTCGAGACACCAATCTCATTCTTGGCTTCTTGCAATTCACCCTGATTTCCCCCTGTTTTTCCATTTTCTTCCATGTATATCTGTGAAAAGTGGCGAGGTCAAGTGCACCCCGACCTCGCAAACGATCATCGCGGAGAAGGCGGAGTACATTTTCAAGAAGGCCCCAGTGGACGATGCCACGCCTCATGAAGACCTGATGAGGACCTTGCGACAACGCATGCGAAAGGTGAATGTCTCTCCTGCAGAAGCCTTGTCCCAAACAATGCAGGTCGGGTGCCACCCGCCCGGCCAAAATGGGTGAAACACGTTCGTGACACCTTTTTCTAAAGTTTATAAATGCACTACTTTAAAATCAATGTCACGCGCAATCGTAGAGGTGATAACATGATGATATGGTCCACTTTCAGGTTTAAGGCGGATCCGGATATTGTCAGCTGTGTTGATGTGGCCGAATGCGGCTCAATGTGCAACCCCTTGAGGTGCCAGCTATTGCCACTTCTCGTGGTGATGGGAGCACACTACCACCCGTAGATTCAGATGTGGCCCAGGCCTTCGCAGAGCAACTTCAGATGTCTCTATCCACCGCCAGGACCATCAAATTCTTGCAAGATGTGGATCAGGCCTCAGGTGGTGAGGGCAACAGTGAGGTGTCCGTGCCCGCTTTCCTCGATGCCTTAAACGGATCAACTGGACGAAGTACTGGGCCGTCTGGTCCGACAGCTCCATCTGGGCCGTCTGGAGGTCCAGGTGACACGTTGTTCACAGGGCCTCATGCGGCGGCAGCAGCACGAGAGGAAAAGAAGAGGCAGCTGATGCAACAGAGTCGACCACAAGAGAATTTGCGGCAGCTGGTGCTCCAGCAACGGGTGAGCCAACTGAGCCGAAAGGAAGCTCAGCTGGTGACGAATTTGCGAGAAGCGTTGTTCGAGCGGCGCTCCAACATGCAGAAGATGTTCAAAAGTGTTGACCTGAATGATGATGGAGTTGTGACACTAGAGGAGTTTCTTCATGCTCTTGAAGGTGCTGGAGTTGCTGTGGGTCATGAGATCGATCGTGCTCGCGCACAGGTCACCGAAGAAGAAGCTGCACGCATGTTGGCGTATTTTGATCGCAGTTGCACCGGAACGCTTCAATACAATGAGTTCATGCGACTCCTACAGGGCACACTGGACTTGACCGATGAGGCTCCATGGGATCCCGAGCTGGCCAGACGCATCCCGGACATTGGCGAATATCGAGGCACATGGGCGATGGCCTCCGACCTAAGAGCGATGGCCTCCGACCTAATAGCCATGGCCTCCGACCTAAGAGCGATGGCCTCCAACCTAGTAGCGATGCTTGATTTCTTTTTTGGTAGTTGTAGCTTCCCATAGCGGACCCTCAAGGTGGGCCAAAGCCAGCCCTCAGTGGGACGCAACTGGTTCGAGCAGTCTAGGACTGAGCTGATTTGGGAGGTAGCGGTGTGGTTTAAAAATGTCCATTTATTGGCTATGCCTTTGACAAAGAAGAAAGGAACGACAAGGAGTAGTCTACAGTCTAGAGCCTAAAGAGTAAGAAAAGGTGAGACAAGAGAAACAATCAAAGGGAAAGAAAGGAAGAATGGGTCAAAAGCAAAGCAATACAGAAAAGAAAGGACAAACTATACCAGGACCTTCCAAGGGGTTATAGGTAGTGCGGGGTAGTCCATTGGACACCCCTTGGAGGGTCCAGGTATGAGTGCCAAATGGTTCTTTTGGAAGTGGTGTGAGCGCTTTTGCCCTAAGGCGGCAGGGCTGAGGGAGGACTCTGACGAGCGGCAGGTTCAGCTTCAGCCTCAATCGCAGCAGCTCACGCTTTAGTCAAGCTAGAAGCGATGGCCTCCAACCTAATAGCAATGGCCAATGATGGCCTCCAACCAAACTGTGGTGAATGACTATGAGCGACTGAGCTGAGACGGCTTGTTGTCATCGTTCTTCAAGAGCCTTTCTTGGCGTGAGGAATGTTTTCGCAAAATGGGACGTGAACAACGATGGAAAGATATCAGAGAGGGAGTTCCTCTCTGTTCTCCGTGGCCAGGTTGCAGTTTGCTTTTTTGTTGACCATTTTCTTGTTTTCTTTTTTCATTTCCATATTCATGATTTTTCCTTTTTCATCAGATCGTTTCTTTTTCTCCTCTTTTCCCTTGGTGTCTTTAACGCATTTAAGAAAGAACATAGATGAACGCCACAGGAAAGGTCGATCCCAAGATCCGCGACCAGGCGAGGAACTGTTTGGAGTGAGGAATCACAATCAGAGGGTGAGGAATCCTGATGGCCTCCAAGAAACAGAAAGAAACAAGAAAAAACAATACTTTTCAGAAACCTACAAGCAATTTCCTCCACCCTACGAACGCGATGGCCTCCAGTGTCTCCAGTGTCTCCATCGACTATCATCGACTCACGAGAGTGTTTCACGAAGCGATCGACCGGTGCGTTTTGGACCTCGAACATCATCGCGGAGTCAAGTGCGCACCCGGCCATACTTGCCACGCTATGGCGAGACGCCGTGAAACGGTTTCGTCCGCGCTGGCTCGGCAGGATGTAAGGCGTTTGTTCGAACAAGCCGATTGCAATGGAGATGGCGTCGTGGTGCCTTGGCATATCGATCTGGGCCTTTTTGTCTTCTGCCAACTTTTGATTCTTGCTCCTAGTTAGTAAGGCCAGGAGCCCCTAGTAGCGTCCTTTGCTCCTAGTAGCGATGCCAGCAGCCCCTAGTAGCTTCTTGTTCCTATAGTAGTAAGGCCAGGAGCCCCTAGTAGCGTCCTTTGCTCCTAGTAGCGATGCCAGGAGCCCCTAGTAGCTTTCTTGTTCCTATAGTAGTAAGGCCAGGAGCCCCTAGTAGCGCCCTTTGCTCCTAGTAGCGATGCCAGGAGCCCCTAGTAGCTTCTTGTTCCTATAGTAGTAAGGCCAGGAGCCCCTAGTAGCGTCCTTTGCTCCTAGTAGCGATGCCAGGAGCCCCTAGTAGCTTCTTGTTCTTATAGTAGTAAGGCCAGGAGCCCCTAGTAGCGTCCTTTGCTCCTAGTAGCGATGCCAGGAGCCCCTAGTAGCTTCTTGTTCCTATAGTAGTAAGGCCAGGAGGCTTTATAGGAGCTTTTCTGTTCCATTGCATCAAGGACTACCATGAGTTTGTCTCGTGGCTCTTCCAATCCGCTTAAGTCTCTCTTTCGGCATTTTTCCGCCGCTGCCGTGGCTCTTCCGGTCGCAAGACCGGCGCCGTCCGCGCCCAAGGCGCTTTCAACCTTTTAGCTATTGGTGCTGTTCAATGGTGCCACTCATTGCAAGATATCTTTGATCGGTATATATATTGCACATTTCTGTAGAAATATTGTCGGAACCATGAATCGGTCTATGCGAACTTATCAAACCATACAAGCACTAGCCACTAGCTTTTCAGAGGCTCTATCTCGCGAGTTTGCCGAAGGCATGTAGCTCTTGTGCAGGAGTCTTGATTGAAGAAAAGCTTCCGTCAGAAATAAGGGCGGGGTAGGCTGGGGTGTCGAAATATGGCGCCATGATGAGCAAGAAGATGACGAGGGAGATGCACTCCTCAGCTTTCAGCTCAAGAGTCCAATGAACTCCGACCGCACCAATCGGCCCAAAGACTTGTGCAGTCCTTGTGTTCAGAACCCAGAACTGCCTTTAACATCCTTTAACTGCCTCCACTATCCTGCCCTTGTAAGTTGTGTGCGATGGAAGAAGACGTCCGAGATCCCTCCAATCCGGTTCGCAGCTCAGAAACCATGAGCATGTCTTGCTTGAAACCAGCGGCTTTTGGTTTTGCGTTTACGGCCGTTGTCACGTTGCGAATCCCTCCACCAGGTGCGAGTGCTCGAGCTTTTTGCTGGTATCGGGGGCATGCGCTTGGCTCTGTCGTGCCCTGCTCCATGCTGACTTGCAAAGCTTCAGCAGGAACATCTTATATATTTCAGCAGAGGTACATAGCTGTTGCATGCTGTTGCTATTCATAAGCAAAGTAGAACGAAGAAATAGAACGAAGAAAGAAGGACAACACAGGTCTTTTTGAAGAAATCAATTAGAGAATGTGCAAAAGAATGAAACAAAACACTCTTTCACACACTTGTCTCAGATGGTCTAAAAGCGTAAAGGATGGTTTCGAGGGTCTTTTTGTGTCCGACCGAAGGGTGGACTTGGTCCATTCATCGCAGCTGGCTCAGCTCAGTAGGTCTTCGTTTGTAGCCAGGCTGTCTGGTCCCAGACTCGTCCGCCATGCCGACGGGCGGATACACCATGTCTGCGCAGAGCAAAAATGCCCCTCGGTGAGAGATTCTACTTCTTAACTCTGCTTCTAGGTTGGAGGCGCCATTGCCATTAGGAACCAGAAGCTACTAACAAGGGCATCGCAACTAGGAGATACTAGGAGCAATCCTTGCTACGAACCAGGCGCTCCTGGCATTACTACAGTAACACGCTTCGCTACGATGTCGGCTTCCGGAGTTCGTCTGGCGACGCCAGGCCGTCTTTGGATCCTCGGGTGTGACGTTTCCCACCCGTGGAGCTCGCTTGGCGAACGCTGGGATGCAACAGATGACGCCGCGGGTCGGGCCGGGGCCGCAAACGACTCTTCAGCCACAGATCAACACCCGTGGTGAATACGAAGATGTGGAGAACACCTTCAAATTTTGGGTCTCTGGCTCTGAAGCAGGGCGGAAACTGCTATGGTCTGCCTGGGAAGCAATCGATTACAATGGAAATGGGCTAGTCAGCCTTGCGGAGATTGACAAATGGGTGGTGGAGTCCTACCCAAAGCTGAACAACAAGCCAGCCCCAAGCTCAGCTTGAGAATGCTCGAACACAAGGGGGCATAGGGCACGCAATCATTGTCATGCGTCAAGCAGTACGATCATGTCATATTACATGTAGAATAATCTTTAAATACCTTAATGTCATGTATGAATGACATTTTAACACCACATCGACGAATTGGATGCAAGATGATGCGAGGCTTTGATGCGCGCATACAAGTCGAGCGATTTGGACCACAACAGCTACGTCACCAAGCGTGAGTTCCCGGTTTTGTTGAGGTGCACCGGCAGGGCTGGCAGACTGAAGCCATTTTGATACACATTCAGAATAATTATGACAATTTGTTTGCGAAAGATAGATCAGGTCCTACAAGTAGGCCCACTATGGGCCTTTCTTTCATGGCATCTCCTTCTTTTCCACTGCCTTTGCGGCGAAAGCTTTTACTTTTACACCTAATTTTGTCTGGCCGACGTGCCGAAAGAGTTTTCTTCTTCTTCGGTATTTCCCTAGCTTTTTCACAGCAGAAGCATGTTCTCGAAGCTTCGAGAACGGTGCAGTGGCGGGATGTGATTCTCAGTTCATGGCGCCACTTTGGCGCGCTGCGCCTGCCAGGAATGTGATCTATTTCAACAAAGTTTGGACAGCGACTTGGAGACCATTGGAGACCTGGAAGTGAGAAGTGAAAAAGAAATAAAAAACTGGAAGAAACTAAGAGATGAACGGGGTAGACTTTAGCATGTTTAGAAGAGGGCCTCCATTTTCGTCTTTGTTTAGTTTCATTTCTTTTCACTTCTTCTGCCTACTTGGAGACTTTGAGACTGATTAGACTCAAAGAGACCTGGAGGACACATGGACGTCTCTGAGCTTTTCAGGTCTTCGAAACGATGGATGTTGATGCCGATCGCCGATTGGCTTTCCCAGAATTTCGCCAAGGGCTGTCCTTGCTTGGGATGACCTCGGCTGCTAAGCAGGCAAAGCGATACGTCTTAGAAAGCTGGACAGATTGCCATTGAACACACTTTTGGAGGACTTTAGGTCTGAGCCAGTATCCATCACCACCCATAGCTACTTGCAACAATGCCTTCCTTATGGCCTTGATCCAAAGCCCGATTTCCGTGGCGCAAACGGTCAAGCACCATTCGTCCTAGTTCGTTCTCATCTCTGTGTGTCGTGCCACCAAGGTTGTGAATCCCCGTTCCCTGTTTGACAGCCTGGACAGGCAGGTCTCTCTTCGACATTTAGGGCACTTTTAGGTTGGAGGCCATTGCTACTAGGGTGGAGGCCCATCGTGAGTAGGTTGGAGGCCATTGCTATTAGGTTGTTCCTCAGAAAGCTTTGCAGGAACCGCGGTGGGCTGGTGCTTTTTGATGAGTTCTGTCGATGGGTGGCCTCCGTTGGACACCAAGCTGTCCGTTGGGACTCGTTCTTTCTCCGTTGTCGTTGTGATGGGCTTCGAAGCAACGAGTCGAGGTGCAGTGCCCTGTGGATGGAGCCGTTTATGCTCCACAAATTACCATGGCTGGATCGCCCTCTCCGAAAGGCCATCACAAGGCGTCGTCATGGGCTTGACACACGACCACAAAGAAGGCAAATAGAGGAGGACTAACTCCTGGAGTAGCCCCGGGCAAGGCTTGAAGCTGAACCCAAGACAAGGGAAGAAAGCTCTAAGCATCCTTCCTTAGGAAAGGCAGCACCCTTTCTGCAAGCTTCCTACAAGCACTAGGGTGGAGGCCATGGCTACTAGGTTGGAGGCCATTGCTACTACAAGCTTCCTGCAAGCACTTTTGTTCGCTGCCAGGGATTGGTTCAACACAGTCACTCTGTGAAGACACAATTGGAGTGACCAGGCTACATGAGGGCTGCAGAGGCTAATAGAGGCTAGAAGGCCCTTCAAGGGCTCTTCGAGCTGGTTTAAGTGTTGAAGTATTTGATATTGGCTATTGGATTGCGTTGAATTCGAAGAACGCCGAGCCGCAGATCTGTCCGCTAAAGCGGCCTCGGGGGGGGGGTCTGGAACAATACCTGCGTAAGATCTGCAACGGCATCAGAACGCCACTCTCTCTATAAATATATAGTAATTCAACACTTCTATGATCTTCTACCTTACCTTCCGGTATGTCCTCTCAAGGCTTCTGCACTGCTCCCCAAGGAATCAGTTCGAAGTTGCAGAGAAGAAGATTCAAACTTTGCTGAAGGAGCCTTGTCGGGCGGCAAACAAACGGGTTTTCCATCGGTGTAAGCCTGTAAGCAGTCCTCCAAAGGTGACCTTCCCTGCCTGTTCTTGTAAACAATGTTTCTTAGTCCTGTTGTTGAAGCGTTATGTCCGTTATGTGTTGCCATTCTTTTTTGTATGTTTTTTTTGAACGTTCGGGTTCGCCTCTTCGCAATTGTTCTTGGCCATGTCCTTGTTGTTGGCCGTTCGAGGACACCCGTCAACTCAATCAGCTATGGCGAACCATGGCCGCTCGGCGGGGGGAGATACAGCGGGAAGTGTGCGATGCTGCGTGGCATCACTTCGAACACTTCGGGCCTGGAAGGTGCTGCAAGTCTTCTTCCTTTTTTCCTTCTGAACGTCGGGCCTCACGCCCACCTCAGACATGTCCAGAGAGTGTTTGTTGTTCTCCTTTTTTTGCGGATACACTTTGATAATCATTGATACAAGTCCGTTTGAAAGTTCTATTGGCTGCGCTCTTCAGCGCCGGGGGTTTCTCCAGTGCCTAGCCAAGGGCTACAATGGCAATGGGCTGGTGAGCTTGGCAGAGATGGACGGGTGTGTGACAGCCACTTGGTGGAATTGAAGACCTTAGTGGCCTTTGGTCTTTGGCGACCTTTGGTGTTTTTCAGCAGTTGGAACCGAATTACACCCGGGAAAATTAACATGGAACCTGACAACCACTGGGTTGTAGAGGAAAATAGTCTTCCAAAGGTCAATTTTCAGGTTCCATGTTAATCTTCCCGTGTGTAGTTGTTCCCCTTCAGTGTGGAGCGCCTCGTTTCGTGGGGCCTGGCATTCGCAAAGCCCTGCCTTTGGGGCTTGCGAGGGTGCTCACGGAGGTCTTCTCGTCAGGAAACGTTCTTTTTTCAGGAACCACTTTCTAGAGTTGGTAGTGCTGCGAGGTAAAACACGTGATCTGTAGATCAAGACCAAAAGGCCCCGAGGGGCAGTGGGAGGACTCATTAAGCCATTCTTAGCCGGAAGTAGGTGGCACCAAAATTCAATCAGAGACTAATAACTTGGAGAATTTAATACTTCCGCTTGTGGGTGTGTGAGTTGAGTTCGGCATTGAGGAAGAGTTCAAAGAGTTGAACAACAAGCCCGCACTGATGCAACTCTGCTGCAACTCATTTTGTCCATCTCAGATTCATTGACTCTGTGCCTTTGCCATTGGCTTACAAGGCGTGCATACAAAGCCACTCTGCGCAATGCAGATGGATATGTGCATAAGATCCTGAGAATGCAAACTGAGCAGGTTGGAGGCCATCGCTAGCCTAAGAAGCAACATGGAACCGAGCATCACCCAAGCACCGAGCGCCTTTTCCTTTGTCTTTGTTTCTACTAGCGATGTCCTCCAAGCCACCAGCGATGGCCTCCTATAGGTCTGACTGGTTTGCTACGAAACTCTTAGCCCGCACAGTAGTTCATCCAAGGACTGACTTTCGCGTGCTTTTGCGCAACATGCCCACTGCTCAGCAAACCTGTTGCGGTTTTTGGTTTCAAACCACATGCAACAGCTGACATGTGTTTGCGTGTTTGACGCGTGTGTTTGTGACCCAGGTTCTACTTCAACAAACTCTACACCCTTTATGAGACCCTTGGGCAGTCAATATCCCCCTGAGCTTTCATGTTTGAATGCGGTCCTGCACTCGAATTTCACGTGTTTCATCCTTCTTTCTAAGGATTGTTGACCATGACCATGATCGGCGGATGGACAGCACTTGCTAGGGGCATTGTTTACATATTTGATCTATTTTGCCAGGAATGCATGATCATGATGAACAGGAGAAAATCACAACCTTCTGGAAACTATCTAAATGTCGCCCCGCATTGTTAGCCTAAGAACTAGTTTTCGCCGCCCCTTCCGAACCCTATCCATCCAAGATGATCGGAGTTTCCTTCGCAGGACTTGACGGAGTTTCGCTCGGGAGTGTCCTTCTTGGGTTTGAAGCTAACACCTTCACAAGCCTTTGACGAGTCGCTCACTCAGTGTGCTCGGCTCGTAGTCGCTTCACATGGAAAACCACGGACTACACCGGACGATCACCGTAGCTTTTTCGGATGTGCGGACCGAGGTTCAATTTCATGGAGCCTTTGGTCGCATCTGACATGTCCATGGAGCTTTTCTTGTAAAAACTGTGCAAGAGTGGTGGTAGAAATCAAGAAACATAGAGATCAGGATGCGAATGGAGGTGGCATGGTGCTGTTCGATGAATTCTGCAAATGGGCAGCGGCGAAGAAATTGCTACTCGGCAATAACTATAACCGAGAAGATCAATTGGTTGTGACACTTCTTCTAGATATTTTTAGAAGAGACATTGATTCCAGCACAAACGCGCAGATTGCCAAAATCATACAGTGGGTCTCACGGTCTGGCAAAAGAGAGCAAGAGGGAGGAGGGGAAGACATTCTATGGTGCTATTTTGGCAATATGAAAAACATCAAACCTCCATATGAAGGGGCAGGTGACTGCGGCCAATGTGTACTCCAGTTGCCAAGGCCGGTGGAATGAAGAATCGGGAAAAGAGCGCGTTGCGCTTCCTTCGACAAAACTTTGAGCTGAAAATCAGCTCAAAAAGACTTTGAATTCCAATTTGCCCACTACGAGGCAAATTGCCAGGCGTCCCAAAAGGGCAACGCCTGTCACTGTGAATTGGCTTGGCTATCACTGAGAACCGAGCTTCCGGAAGAAAACACCCAAACAACGAGTCCTTCTCGCACGGCTCAGGAGGTTCTGTCGTAGCGTTGCACTCCAAACGTCGCGATGTCATGTTTGGTGACGACGTGTGTGGCAGGTATGCCGGCATGGCAGTCGACACCGTTGCAGTGGAAGTGAATCAGCAGGCGCCATGTTTGGCACCCAGTGTGCTAAAAGGGTCCTCTCGTGGCACTAGGCGTTGGAGATCTATTCCAGTAACTTTGGTCCTGTCCTTGGTTGGTGACACTTCTTTCTGCGGATTTCGCTGTCGCCGTGTGGTGCAGAGGTCCAGAGAACGTGGTGAACAGAGATATTTGCAGTCGCCATCTGAGCCATCACCGACACCAAAGTCAGGAGATTGACATGAGTTGAAGAAGGGTGTGGGTTTTTTTCATAGGGAGACCCCCAACCCAATGGCTTTTGGTTCGTTTAGAGTCTAGTTCCCATCTTCCAGGGTTCTGGTCGGAGGTCTCCCTATTGAAAACATACACCCTAGTAGTTTCTTGTTACTACTAGTCTACTAGTAAGGCACTTGTTACTAGAAGCGATGCACTTGTTCCTAGTAGCTTATTGTTACTACTAGTAAGGCACTTGTTCCTACTAGCGATGCACTTGTTCCAACTGGATCTTCCTTCGACGTCGGAGCCACCGAAGACGCTCCGAGGCCTTACTCCACAATGGCACCTGGGCAGCACGTCGCGCAACGCCGTGCGGTGCCACGACGTGTCCGCTTGATCGTGGTCTCTCGGTGTCACGAAGGTCCTTCTGTCTTCTCTTCAAATACCCTTTGTCACACACACACCAACAACCCTCCATGGCAGCAGAAATCCCAGGAAAAGAACACAAAAACAAAAGAAACACCATCACAACAGACAAAGAAATCGAATGTGCAGCATCTCTTAGACGTGACTGGGCGACTGAAGCAGGTTCGACCGGCAGCAATGCCAAATTTGGACCATGTCTCCGTGCTGCGCTCAGAAGTTTGAACCGTGGAGCGTACCAAGGGAAGTGCTTGCTGGCTGCTAGATGCTATCAAAGGCCAATGAATATATACGGTAAATCTAAAACGACCAGTGAATTGCTGAAACAATGCTGTGGGGGTCATTTGAGGTTTTCTGTCCGATTTGTGATGAAGTGTTCGTTTGCGCCGATGTCGTGAACGACGGTCACTTCATCCGAATAGAAGTCCTCACTTCACCTTGCATCCTTGCCACGTTTTGACACCCTACTTTGCAGTTCGTGGGTCAGGGCAACCCCACATACAGCTTGAAACACCCATTGCAGTGCGCACGCCAACCCGCAATTGCAATCCCCCCAGCGGCAACTGCGACAGCCAGTGCCCTTTTGACACCTCGAGCGCCTATTGCCGGCCGTCCAGAAGCACCGGTCACAACCAGTTCACAGAGCGCTTCCGGCCCCAAAGACGTTGGTTACTCTCATATGCCTTTCAATCAGGTGGATATGGTTGAACCATGTTGAACCTTCGCAACATCCCAGCACTACATTCTATTCACGGACAGTTGCCGCAAGTACTACACACCGGAAGAGTATGTTCCATGAAAAACACACCTTTATCACTCGTTTTGAGGCCTTGTCAGCCCTACACCAGGCTGCACAGCCGGGCTGTGCCAAGCTGCACCATGCTGTGCCATGCTGCGCCTGTGTGTGCAGGGGTAAATCCGCGTTGAACACCCCGCCAGGCAGGGCCAAATCAAGGATGCAGAGGACTGGAACGAGCTGCAGAGCTGTCACGTAAGGCTTTTACGTGTCGCTGTTCTTTTTTGTGTGTGTTTATCTTGTTATATATTTGACTGTTATTATTGTAATGTTATTCTTTAAGACCTTTTCACAATTCTATTTTGTCATGTTTTCCTTCCTTGCTTTCTTTACTCCTTGCCGGTTCTGTACGTTTCGCTTCTGTTTGCTTCGCATGCTTTTTCTTCCCAGGATCCAAGAGCAAAGCCCTTGCTTCACATCATCAAGATGCTGCAGGAGGCCGCTAAGTGTTGCAATGGGTTGAGGCCATCGCTTCGAGTCCATTGCTTCTATATTGGAGGCCATTGCTAGTAGGTTCTTTAAAAGGACCTCATTAAACACTCTCAGGTCAACAGCCCGCCCGAAGCCATCGTCTTGGAGCGTCTTGCCTCAAAAAACTCCAGATCCATTTTGGCCTCCCACGGCACGACGATCAAACGACCGGGCTTTGTTTGTTGGCCAAAGCTGCGGGTGGCGTGGCGTTTGCAAGGAATGTCCGGAACTTTGAGCTCTCGGAGTCATTTCTGCTTCTCTGTGAGGCCAACCTTCGAAAGGATGTGATGCAAGTGGTGTTCGAGACACACCGGTTGAATTGTGAGTAATGTGAGGCTTTGAGAGCCAGGCAGTATCACTGGAGAAGTTTCTTGCTCAGAGCTGACCTCAGTCCCTGAACTCGTGCGCTTCTTGGCACCATTTTTCGATGAAAAATCACATTTTGGTCAAAGATCGTGAAGCGCATGAGGCCCCCGACAATTTGGATTTCCTAACTCGCGCTTGAGATTTTATTTGGTCGAAGACTTGGAACAATCGTCAGCCGAAACGCATATAAACGTCTTGTCAGTTCCTTGACCTTTGGAGAAGTATCAAAGTCTGCTTGCGAGCCATTGCGAGCTCAATCTGAGATCTGGCCTGTCAAGATGCCACATCTGCTGTAAAGCGATAAGGAAACAGCATCAACAATCCCCTGTCCCCTTCTCTACACATGCCGCCGGTGCCTCTCAACGACACTCCAGGGTCCTTCCTGGGCTCCAAAACGGCGACGAAGGGACTGTAACCTAAAAGCACGACAATGGTTCAAGACTGGAAAGAAAGAAAGGAGACCTATGCACTCTGGAGTTGACCAATACAATGTTGGAGCATCAGATGCAACATGTCAGGTTGGTGATTGGTGTTTAAAGAATGCCTTTCAGAAGGCCTGCTAGCTGCTAGCATTGGCGGAGACCATGTCATGCGTGTGTGTGGCCATTGATTTTGTTTGGGGGACATCGTGCTTAGGTTGGAGGCCATCGCTTCTAGGTTGGAGGCCATTGCTAGTGTGGGGTGTCTTTGTGTCTGTGTGTGTGTGGAATGCCACGCCTGATCCCTCACTTTCTGCAGCAGTCCGAACTACCATGACGCAATCCAAGGGCTATTTATTAAACTAAACAATCCTATTTTGAGTTACTACTAGCAATGGCCTCCACCTAATAGCAATGGCCTCCAACCTAGAAGCGATGACCCCCAACCTATGAGCAATGGCCTCCACCTAATAGCAATGGCCTCCAACCTAGAAGCGA